AGAATGAATTTCCATGCTTTGCATTGTGCAGGGGGCCACAGTGCAATTCTAATGGTTCTTCTGCTTTTTGAAGCACTAAAATCAGATGAAAGCTACAATTAAGAGTGGTATTCTGTAGTTTAATTGTGAATGCAAGACTAGACTGGCACTGGAAATCGCTCAGGTACATCTACTCAAAGGCTAGAAGCAGCAGCACTGCAGGTATTCAGTGCTTTATCTGATTAGAAAACAGCCTGGCACAGATGTGTTTTCTGCTCCATATATCAAGCTATGGCAGGCTTTTGCTGCTTCATTATGAAAGCATCTGAAGTAAAATAGGTTTTGGAACATAAAAAATGACAAATTTGGAAAAATATCTATATGCCAGATGGGTGTAGGAAGAATCCTTGTGACAAATATATTATTAAGGGAATATGCATAAGGAAAGAAACTGTGCCCAACTCTTCCAAGGATGGACAGGCAGGAAGGTAGCGTCTCACTGTGTCTAATGTATTCTCATCTAGTCTAAATCTAATTAATTATGTTGCACTGCTGACATCAGATCCAGGCACCACACACAATAAGCTGCATCGGGGCTTCAGCAGGACCTGATGGTTGCTCTGCCCTCCCTGCTTTTGTTTGCTTTCCTTGGGGGCTGCGGGTCAGGGTGATGACATCTCTGCCGAGGAAAGGCTAATACAAACAGATGAGGCTTCTGCTGCACACCAGCATGAGCTCATCCTGGTCTCCAGAGTTACCACACTGTGTCAGTCTCCTCCAAGGATGCTGCTTAGAGGGGTTTTATTGCAGCCTGTGTGTGCTCCAGTTCAGCTTCTCCTTGTGTCTCACAGAGAAATGGGAGCACTTCAGTAGCTGCTGATTTACTCCACTGATGCTTTTGGAGTTGAGTTCAGTGTCTCAGAGATGAGGCCTGGACTTACTGGGAAGTTAGCTCCTGGCTTTCCCATATAGGAAGGGGTGGTGTCTGTAGCTCTCTGGCTCAGGGCACAAGGAGCTGTGAAAGCAGGAAAGTCAGTATTTCAGACTAAAACCCCCAAAGGACAGGCAGTCCTGCATCTTTGTGGCACACCAGACCTGAGACGATATGAATGGCATCAGGAGGTGCTGCCTGCAGATATGAAACACAGCTGAAAGAGGTCTCAGCCTTTGGTTCTTCCCAAAGATGGGATACAAACCTGGCTTGGATTCAAGGTGTGAATGATCTAGCCATGAGGAATGTGTTCAGAACTGAAAGAGAAATGGAGGCAGGGAGGGTGGGATGGCAACCTTATCATTTGACTTCATATAATTTGATTTCACTGATGCCCCCATCCACTATCTGATTGCTCTTTTCCTATTTAAACCCAGACAAACCAGGAGGCTTTTGCTCATGGGCTTTTAGTACTATTTTATTTGGCAGTTATGGAATACAAGAATTTTTGTATTGCCTTAGAGTTTCTCCTGCCATCTATCACAACCAGTCGAGCTCATATGTGGGTGAACTGTGCTTTGATCCAATCATACAATTCTATTGGAGCCCTGTTTTCCTGGGTGCATGTTGAAAAACTCAAGAGCAAAAGAAAATTCCACAAAACGTTTCTCATTTACTGCAGGTTTGGAGATCCAGGAATGCATCAGACTGGCACTTGTGGAGGCCAACAGCAAACCAGGAAAACAACATGTTCTGCAGGGAAAAATACCCACCCTGTTAAGCATCGGCAAGATTTAGAGGGAGAGTAGCACAATCTGCATGTAGACATTATTGTCCTTGGGGAGACAGCCTTACTTTTGCTAATTGTATCAGCAAGAAGTTTGTTGGTGTCCATCACTGCAGTGACAATGACAAAGGAGCTGCCAATCTGAAGACATTTCTGAGGATGAATAAAAATGACAAATCTGAAGACAACACAGACACAAAATGACCCAGGCAACATCCCCATGGATTATAGTGACTGTAATACTTAACAACGCTGCTACTTTACACACTTAGTACCTCTATGGCAAAAATGCATTATTAAATCAACAACCCATGCACCATTTGATTACCATGATGCAGTAGTTGATCTAGGATATTTTTGGCTTCCACTGTCTTCGGGCTACAAAACATAATAAAGGGAATTAGGTGTCTCCCTTGCTCATCTGCTATAGAAAGCCATGCAGAGGCGTAGCTTCACAGTGCTGCTCCCAGGAGAGGAAATACACTTGCTCCAAAACTTTGTGGCTCCATCCTGGTGTTCTCCCACACACCTACAATCAGAATCCCCATCCTAAAACTATGTGATGAGGGAGATGCCAGGACCAAACCTTAAGCAAGGGCAGATGTGCATGTGTGCTTGCAGCAGATGTGAGATGCAGCAGGAGGTAATGGGAAATCAATTCCATTGTTTCCCTTTCCTGTGCATTTTGGGTCAAATTCTCCTTCATTTTGCCATAGCACAGTTGAAAAGCAGCTCAACTGAATCACGAGAATTATACCCAAACTGATATAAGCAATGGGCATATTAAGCTATTGCAGACTGTTGTTTGCAGTGTTCCAGAGAGCTGTAGCTTAGCTGATGGACCATCAGTTTTTGTGTATCCATTCTTTATTATGGTTATTAAAAAAGAAACATTAACAAAACAGGACATAGACCACATTCAGAAGTCTTTTTTCTGTCCTTTGCTCACTTGAACAACAAAAATTAGAGATACTTGGAATGAGGATGACATTGCAAAGCAGCAAAAAGGTCAGAGAAAGCCTTAGTAAGAAGAAAGACAGAAGGAAGGCTAATGGCACTTATGGAACAGTGCAGGGTTCCTGGTAGAATAAAAGACTTTGAAGCTTATGTTCAGAGGCTTGAAAGGAATAGGACAAGGGGGAATGGGTTTAACCTGCCAGAGGGGAGATTGAGATGAGCTCTTAGGCGGAAGCTCTTCCTGTGAGGGTGCTGAGGCGCTGGCACAGGGTGCCCAGAGAAGCTGTGGCTGCCCCATCCCTGGCAGTGTTCAAGGCCAGGTTGGACACAGGGGCTTGGAGCAACCTGCTCTAGTGTGAGGTGTCCCTGCCCATGGCAGGGGGGTGGAACTGGATGAGCTTTAAGGTCCCTTGAACACTAACCGGTCTGGGGTTCTATGATCATTCCCAAGGCTGCCTGCTCTTGGTGACATCAGTTTTGCCTGCCTGTGATTTCAGCAGCTTAACAGTCCCTTTTTCCCTTATTCCCGAGGGTACAGACAGGTTGTTGGTCTCCAGCTCTGGAACGCCATCTGTGTTTCTGCTCCCTGTGGGAGGCTGACAAACGTGGCACCTCTCCCCGTGCCTTCCCCCGGTCACTCTGAGCCCCGTCATTAAGCTCTGCCACAGAAATCTGTTTAGTCACAGAAGCAGATTGCTTCCACGAAGCACAGAGATGTAATTTGCCACCACTTACGCTACAATATTAAATACTCGCACAAAGCTCCTTCACCTTTTCAGTTCTTTATAGCAGAAAATACTTGGTGTGAAATCCTGCCTAGACAAGGGTCAATGATAAAATCTGCCTCAGCGATGGAGCAGCTTCTGCCCTTCCTATGGTGAGTGGTTTTATTGGGTTTGCATTTAAAGCTGTTCCAATACATCAGTGCTTTCATTGCTGGTCTAGAGCACTTGGACACACGCAAAGCTGCTGCGGAGGGACAGCTAGGATTTAAGGACAGCCCTTGCTGGGATTTGCTTTCCCTTGGAAATGGATGGCTCCGAGGCAGAACACACTCCGAGTGCAGCCGTAAGCCACCATGCCTCACCCCAGGCTCCAGCCCGCTGTAGTTAATCATTAAATAATTCCCCTGGTGATGTTATCCGGTGCTGATAAATGACAGATTTCATTGTTTTGCCTGGAGCAGCTTTAAATTGTGTTAATTTCATCAAAGATTGACACTGGCTTTTATTTCCTTTTGCTCCTGTTGTGTCCTGTAAAGGCACCGCACGCCGCAGACTGCAGATTGCTCATAGAATTGGTACAATGGATTTTTCCTTTTTCCTCATATTTAGAGAAAAATTGTAATCAGAGCCTTGGAAATACCAAGGACTTTTCGATCAATAAACTACTAATGAGAGTGTATTCGAAGAGGAATATGACCACAAATCCAATGGCTTTTAAAACAACCTGAGTGTTGACTGTGTTTGTTTCACATGTGATCTCAGAATGATTTCTAATTTTATACAGCAGTGAATTTATTCCACCTCCAACACACGTTTCTGACACAGGGTTTTCTCCAAAACTGAAGATAAAATACATTATCCATCTTCCTGATGAGCCAAGCTATCATTGGGCTGATTCTTTCTTTTGGCAATGGGAAAAAAAATAGCCCAAGGTAGCCCTATTCTGTTGATGCTGAAGAAAAAGGCAGTTTTACATCAGTGGGATCTTGATCTTGATTTATGGCAAATTCCACCTATTTTGGAACAATGAATGTAACAGTTCGATGTGTATTGGATAAAGCACATGGAAAAAAATCAGAGCTGTAATTTGCAACTACAAAACTGATATTAAGTATTTTCTGTACCAGTAACAACATGACAGAGCACAATAGTCTGTTGTAGTAAACAAGGGGAGGTTTTGATCGAGCACTGTTGTAGCTCCCTGTGCAGAATGCTGGGTTTGACTAGGAAACAGTGAATAAAACTTCATATCCCAACTAAGGCTCCATATCACAGCTGGTATTTTTAATAGGGGTCTCTCTCAATAATTTCACTGGGGTACCCTGGGTTTGTTTTGGCGGCTTTTCATAATTGTGTTGGTTTATTGTCTTTTTAGGTGCGTGGTATAATGCAGTTGAAATACTCACTTAAATGTGGATAGAAACGAAACGTGTGAAAACACACTGTGCATGTGGATAGAAATGAAATGAAACCATAACTCAGGTGTCCTGAGGCTCTGATTGTTGTTAATGGCTCTGAGAAGCCTCATCTGGGGCCTCCCAGCCCACCTGTGGGCCAGGAACACTATTTAAGCTCAGGCATGGCCCACTTTCATTCTGAGCAACACTGAGAGGGATTGGTCTCTTGCTTCTTGTCCCTCACCCTGCTCATTTGCCCTCTGGTCTGTGCATGGACCTCCTGGCTTGGTGACAGCCTCTGGAATGTGTCTGATCCTGACCTATGGGGTCACCACCACATTGGCCTTGGAGTTGTGTCAGCCCCTTGAGCTTGTCTAATAGGAGCCTGTGGTTGAAGGTGCTCTGCTGTCCTCATCAGCTATTGTGGGACTGGCTCTGGCCTCAGCTCCTGCCTCCCTGCCCTGCTGGAAGAAGACATGGATTAGTCAAGGTAAATAAATCTGTTAATGAAGTTTACTTAACCTGGAGGAGCCTCCCCTGGACCATGTCTGTACCCCCTGTTTTATATTAGAAGAATGGAATTTTTTAAGAGAATAAACAAGCAGCTACATTTAATGTCCCAGAGCAATTGTTCTGCCCATGTCAGCTCACGCGAGCATGGGCTAGCTTTCTACACTTGTCTTGAGCCCCAGAAACATGGGTACAGGAACTGCAGTTCCTCCAGGGAAGCTTGAGCTGATGCAAAGCTGCTGTTGAGCTCTTGCTCTCAATTGGTCTCCTCTGTGGCCAAGGGGTGTTTGTGGTCATTGGGGCCCATCTCCTTGCTCACCTGATTGATCTCATGTCTACCTGCTCCGTGTGCAAACCCAAGTCATTGTTCAGGAGTTTCATAAATCAAACCATGAGTCCCCTGATGTCCATGGCCATGGTAAAAGAGATGGGGTGGTGGTGGTTGAGCACTGAAAAGAAGCTGGAGGGTTTGCTTCAGTTTGCTCGCTTCAGAGCTGTGTGTTAGGCAATGAATGAGTTGATCCAAATCCCATGGAGGGTTCCAAAAGAAGAGCTATGGTGATCTGTAGCAGAATGGAGCAGGTTAAAATTCCCCTCAGTAAATACCCAGCTCTTGAGAAGCCTGTAGCACTACTTACCACGCTCAGACTGTTCGACTCCGTCAGATTTCCCCAGAAAGTTTTGATTTCTCAGGAACTATGGAAAAATACCATTTTTTCCAGATAGAGTGAGTTTGAGGGAGAAGCGAGTGTCTGCCCGTCTGGGATAGGTGCAGTGTGTCCTTCAGGGTATCTACAAGTGAATTGGGATGTGTCTAAAAGTAGTGTTACTGCGAAGGTAGTAGAAGAGCATGGGCCTTATCCGACAAAGTTGTAACCTGGAGCACTTGCCAGCTCAGACCATTTACATATGGGGTTAATGGGCATAATCTCTACATGTTTGCTTCCATCTGCTTTAAAGATTAAAACCCCGAACCTGTGGGTCCTTGCAAGCAGTTGAAGATAACACATTCTCATTTTGGAAGTCCTCTTGAATGTACTGAGTGAGGGAAACAAAGGCAGGAAAACAAGCCTTTGGAATCAAGGTAGAAAGTCACAGTGTTTGTTTCCTGATACATCTGGGATCTTGCCACCTTGAGAAGCAGACCTTTGAAGCAAAAATAGCAGGGCAATAAAACAATAATAGTAAAAGGCATTGGCGAGGCGCTTGAAAAACCTACATTTTACAGGAGTGTAATCATGATTTAAAAATACAAAAACACTGTTACTCAAGAGGGAGAGTGTGGGTGTTTGCTGGGGATGAGTCAAAAGAGAAGAAATCACAACTCCAGAAAGCGAATGCAAAAGCTGAAGCTCTGTGAGCAGAGCCTGCAAAAAGGCAGACCAAATTTATGCGTTTATTCCGCATCCAGAGTTCACCTCCATGAGATGCAGAAGTCATTGATTAACTGACATTAGATTGAAATGGGGCAATTAGACAGAGGGAAATGTCTACAGCATAAATTATACAGGAAAAGTGTCTGAGGAGAGCCTCCCCTTTGTCTTTAAGACTTGCCAGCTGTTCCTTTCCTGCCTTGTGATTTTTACCTTCTCAGATAAGCATATTCCTGTTCCCTAAATCAATCTGACGGAGCAGAGTTAGCTGTACATCCCAGGGTACAGCTGTATGTCCAGATATGTTTGTAATAGGTCAGCCAGTGCAGTGGTAAAATAGCAGTGAATCATATTAGCAGATGAGGAGGCTGGAGGGCAAATGATGCTGTGGAAGCACCTGCAGCAGACATTGCTGAACGCTTCCTTGGCTCGGATTTCTTGGAACACTTTGTCATGTGCTTAATCTGAAGCGTGTCCTTTACTCCCCTTTCTAGTGGGTACTCGGCCTTATACAGTGTTGAAAGGTAGTCGCAGGAGTTAGAAATCCTGCTGGTTTCCACTGTAAAGATAAGTAAATCACTGATTCCTTGCAGAAAGGAAGTCTGGGCAGTTCTGTGCCTATGCTGGCTCACTGATCTGGGCTTGAGACAGTGCAAGGCTTAATGTTGTGGGGTTTGGGCTTTTTTTTCTATGACAATAACAACAGAAACTGAGGGTTTTCTTAAGAAATAAATTGCTCTAAGACTCCTCTTGTGCCTGTGGCAAGCATAATGTGACCTGAAAACACCTTAGTAGTGAATTTAGCTTCCTTCTAAACCAAGCCAACTCTTTGCCATGGTTTTAGGGCATGGCGTGAGCTTCCATTGCCTCTCATCACGCTGCCTGATCAGCAGGTATTTATGGGCCCCCCTTCGGTTGAGAGCTTCCACAGAAGCACAGAGTTGTTGGAGATGCACAAAATGTGCTATTTCCAGCTGCACCTTTTACAGCCCATGCCCACTGACCAAGTTTAGACCTGACTGAATAGGGATGGTCATGGCTATGGCAGCATGAAAAGACTCTGGGTTGCACCTTGCTCCCTGTGAGGCTGCTCTGAGCTCCTCAACAGTGTGAAAGACAGCCTGCCCTCATACACAGGGTCTCAGAGATGGGCATCCTTAGCAGTGCGGTGTGCACTGAGAGCATCTGGTGACCTACAACTGGTCATTTTTTCCAGAATAAGGGAAGAAAATCCACCTGTCTGAACAACAGGTAAAGATGCAATGGCTGTGCTGTACAGTGATGTGTGCTGGGCTGTTGGAAGTAAATTGGGCATGAGGTGTTTTCTGATCTTTCTTTTACTTGTGCTGGCAAGATTGATGCATGAGCTCTTCCACCGTAGAATAACCCACAGTTTATAGTGCGGCCAAGCGAGATGAACTGGTCTTGCGTAAAGCTCACGTCACTGTTTACAAAGTAGAGAGTATTTAGAATAGCTCTTGGCCACTGCAGACTGCAAGCATTCAGTCTTCCCTCCCTGTGTTGATGGCAAAATCTGACAGTGAACTTGACCTGGTGGTAGCTGCTGGATGTTTTCTTCAGGTTTGCATTTAACATTCCATATGTTGTCCATGGAATTCCAGTGGTGGTTTCATCCATTCTTTTCCAGTATTTTCTCTAAAAAGACAGTGTGTTTTTATTTCTTTGTAGTCCCAGCACGGCACTGGCTCAGAGCCACCCACATCTGATGGCATTTCCCCTCTCACCTGGAGCAGTCACTTCCTGACCCCAATTCCATTTGTAGGACCCCCTCAAGCATGAACTTGCATGGAGAGCAGGGGTTTATCATATTTAAGTTTAATGTACAACACTGCCAAGCCCAGCCAAGCGAAAGGGAACCAGGTGAACAGTTACTGAGTGGTGTTTATGTGGTTTTATGTTGGGCTTTATCTGACTTGTCAGACACCCACTTTGTACTTTACAGACACGTTTCCCAGCCTTCAAAAATGCAGATTTATGAGTTTGAAAATATTTTACCAAAGCTGAGAGCATTTAACATTCCATAATTGGGTTGGAGGGTTGTGCATATCTCACCCGGCCCAATCTGAAGGGAGAGGGAAATGCTTCCATTTTTCATCTATAGAGCATGAAAATGTGAAGGCTGACTTTAACAATACTACATAAACCACAAGAGAAATGTAAACCAATCCAGCCTCATAATATATGTGCTTGTTTTGTAATTTCCTGGTGGTAAGGATTGTTTATACAGCGCTGAAGTTAAAACATCTGAATATCACCCAGACAGCATGATGGTTTTGTACAATGAACTCCTTTATAAGTCATTTGAAATGAACCTGTCAGTCATCATTAATGGTCTGTGAAACCCTACCCCAAGCTGGTGCCAAGTCTCCCTCAGCACAGTTACATCATGATAAGCTCTGCTGTGTTCACAGTAAATCAGGGAGTTTCACAATGAAGTTACACGATAAGCTTTACCATATTGCACAGTAAATCACTGTGTTGAACAATTACACAATTAAGCCTCCTTAGCTTTTTCTTTATGGGAGCGTCTCTCAGTAATGGATAAAAGTCAATATGAGTCTTTTTCTCCCCCTTCTACCACCTACCTCAAACACAATTTATGGGTGCTTCTTAAAGTTAGTGATAAGACCATGTTGTTAGGCTTATATGCCTGCATATAAGTGTGATATGATGGAGTTAAAGCACTGGGGAGCAGTGCACAAGAAGCCTAGAGAAATCTGAAGCTGCATCTGAGGCTGGGTCAGTGATGGGAAGGGTATCCTTGGCTTTCAGTGGAGCTGTGCCAGTTTACAGGAGCCAAGTCTTTGACCTACAAGAAGACATGTACTAGAACTTCCTATTTATGCAGTGATTTGTGTTTGCTTTGCTCCATCTTGGTTTTCATTGTCCCATTCAATTTTTATTAGTCAACAAGGCTATAAGAGGCATCTTCCCTTTTAAAGTCTATTTTACCGATTCTTGTGGTTTACAGGACCATTTCTTTCCCTACCCCAGCTCCTCTTGTGTGATTTAACCTGCTGCTCCTGTTTGACAACTCCTAACTCAATTTATTCTTTACTCCATCCCAAATCTTCAGCTGTCTCCCAGACATCTCCACATTGATGTCCCCTTGTCCTCTAAGGCCACAGGCTGGGACTCGAGCTTGCCTATCCTGTGCCGCTCCCTGCCTGTCTGCAAGGCTCAGGCTTGTTTTGTGATGCCTTGGTTTCATCTCCTCCTCCCTCCCTATGTCTCACCGCTTTCTAGAGACTTGCATAGCCTACTGCCAAGTGCTTCAAACATGCAGTTTGCATTCTCCTTGCTTGGCAGAGCCTCCTAAACTCCCACTACTACAGCCTTTGTGTTGCACTAAAGAACTGCACACCTTCTCATCTAATCTTGACAAGATGAAATAATAATAATAAAGGCTCCTGTTGCCATTCCACTTGGGTCCCTTCAGGTGTATGAATTTTTGGAGTCAGATTATAAGAGATGTCTGCTAAGAGATGTGTCTGCCTTTCAAAGAGCAGGGAGTTGTGTCTGCATTAATGCTGCCTCCGTAAAGCATCGTGTACTGAAAAGGGCTCTCATGTACACCACAGCTGCA